TGCTCTCTCTCTCTTTCTCTCTAATAAATAAATAAAATCTTTAAAAAAAAAACAAACTTTGTCACAGGTTATATATGTATAGGGAAAAACATAGTACAAGAGGGTTTGATCCTATCCGTGGCTTCAGCTATCCATTGGGGGTCTTGGAATATATCCCCCACAGGTAAGGGGGGATGTTGTCTGAATTTTGGGTGTGGTGTTTTTCTTTTTAATTCTTAGAATACACAAAAATGCAGGTTGAGGCAACCATTGGGAGGCTTATCTCCCTTCCTCTGCTGCTTCCCCCTCCTCTGAATGCCAGAGAGAATCTGGTTGAAGGAAACATGCAATAATGATCAAATCTAAAAACAAAGTTTTGATCCAGAAGAACTCAACATGATTAATCCAACTACTGTGAGGAGCTTCACAGAGTAGGATTACGATGTACAGATGTAGCATTTCCACAGGCTGGCTCTTCAGTGCACAGGCTGCTTGAGGACAGGACACGCAGGAAACTGCTTACCGGACTGGGGGTTAAAGTCACACAGCCAGGGCACCCCTCCCACTCAGTGCCCGGGGACAGCTTGTCAATGTTTTAAAAGGCTTCTGCTGCCCGACTGTAAACTACTATGCACTGATTGCTTCAAAGACTTAGTACCAAAAAGAATAAGATACCTCATTAATCATCTTTTAAAGGTGATTATATGTTGAAATTTTGTATATACTGGGTTAAATAAAATCAAAATTTCTATTTTTAATATGGCTAGGAAAACTTAAAACTACATCTAGCTGACATTTCTATTGTACAGTACTGTTCTAGCATTAACTCCACGGGATTATCTGATTTTACCAATTAGCAGTGCACGGTTTCAGAAATTGGGCCCAATTAAAGTAACAGCTTTCACTTACAGTAATTGGAACTGGTATATTGGATTTCAGAGGGAGTTAACTTTTTTCTCTTCTAATTTGTAGGAAGAGCAGTAAACCTCATGAAGACATCCTTGGCATCAGATCTCAAAACCAAGGCTCTTTGGCACAGGGAAAGAATTTTTTAATGAGCAAATTTTCATCTCTAAATCAAAAAGTGAAACAGACCAAATCTAATGTAAATATTGGCAATCTCCGAAAGCTAGGAAACTTTGCCAAACCTGAAATGAAAGTTAACTTTCTAAAACCAAACTTAAAAGTGAATCTTTGGAAGTCAGATAGTAGTCTTGAAACTATGGAAACCACAGGTGTGATGGATAACAAAGTCCAGGCAGAGTCGGATGGGGAAATGTCTTCAGAGAATGACTCCTACCACTCTGATGAATTCCTTACAAATTCCAAGTCTGATGAAGACAAACAGCTAGCTAATTCTTTAGAGAACGTAGGGCCAAGAGACTATGTTCTTCCTAGTTGTGGTATTATTGCTTCAGCACCTCGGTTAGGCAGTCGGTCCCAGTCCATTAGCAGCACTGATATTAGCATTCATGCTCCTTCAGAGATTGTTGCTCATGGAAGTGGGTCTGGAAAAGGCCATGAGTCTCCTATGAAGAAAAGTCCTTCTGCTGACAACATATACATGTTGACTGGCTTTGCCAAGCCTATGGATATTTACTGCCACAGATTTGTACAAGATGCACAAAACAAAATGACCCAGCTGTCAAAAACAGGGTCTGTCTGTCAACAGGCTAGTGAGGAGGGAAATCAAATGGCCAATCAAGCTTCTAGTGAAGAAACACAATCGGAATCAACAGAACAGATACCTTCCCGGCCGTCTCAATTAGATGTGTCTTTTTCTGCAACAGGTCCCCAATATTTGTCAGTTGAACCAGTGCATCCAGTTGTATCTCAGAAGACCCCTGGCTCTGGACCCAGCACGCTTGAATTTGAGACAGGGCTTCATGGAGCTCCTTCTCCTTCAGAGGGCGGTAGCAACAGAGCAGTCTCTCCCTTTGCAAAGATTCGAAGTTCCATGGTCCAAGTTGCTAGTATTACTCAAGCTGGCTTCACCCAGGGGATCCATTTCGCAGTGGCAAAGGTTCAGAAGAGCCCTGCAGAACCTGAAGGGGTTAATGAAGTCCAGCAAAATGAACTTAAAAATATGTTTACACAATGCCAGACACGAATAATTCAGATTTAGTTTTTAGCCACAAAGAATCCTATGGCTTTTATTTAATCCAAAAGGAGGTTTCACATATTAGGCTATTTTAACCTGTATTGTCTTTGAAGCTAGGGATCACAAATTCTAATTTTGTTTATTGGGAAAGGTTTTTAAAGGAGTCTGAAGCTGAGCAGATTTCCAGATTTGAGAGCCAGGACGACAGGAGTACGTCATCCTAGAAGGTGTAAACGTGAGTAGCTTATACACTACAGAGCAGTTGGTCTCTGAAAGTAATTTGGGGATAATTACTTTGAGACAGTAATAACCTGAACCTTTTGTGGAGTGGGGTAGGTAAGTGAAGTGTAGGAAGGAAACACATAAAGGATGAACGTGGACACACATTTAGGAGAAGAGCATTTTTCATAATTTGTCTTCTGTTTGTCCATTTCTGTGTAAATACATTTGGTTTTTAATGACTTTAGAGTGTTACTAGTATGAAGAAGCATTTGAATATTAAAAAATTCTAGTTTAGTTTTGATGGCTTAACCATTCCCTATTAAGAGTTAATTGAGGGTTACTGGCATTACAGTCAAGAAGGGTATGCCCATTTGATCCTAATTTTCCCCATAGTCTACTTAAAATACTCTGCCCCTTGTACACCCCAAAGTCTAGAATTAAAACTAGTCACTCATAAAACCTGAGACACCGGATGTGCGTACCAGCACCTATTAAATTATTTTGCTGTTTTCAGGAATGGAAGACTACATTTACTGGATACTGGTAATTCTTGAAATGAGTGTTCAAATTGTAATTTTTTGCAGGGAGACATTCCTTAACATCTTGTACAGACTGTAACTGAATTGTTGAAAATTTAGTCTGAAGCACAGTTGTACTAAAACTGACATGACTATAACCCTGAACCCATGGAACAGTGGCCTCAGAAAAGCCCATACAGGAACGTTGCACACCTTATTCCAAACAAGTATTGGTTTGTCTGGTATCTTTAGAGCCTTACTCTGTTGAAGTGATTCTCAGCTAAACATTATGTCTGTTGTAACTTTGATAAGTATTTCCACATTTGTTATTTATTAGTGGTATCTTTTTTTTGAAGTGTCAAATCTTGTGACTATTTAAAATAAAATACAGTTGTAATTTAAAGTGGCAAATGTGTATGAGAATTCCTTAATATTTTAAAGGCAATGTTGATTTCTAAGTCAGATTTAAAAATTCGTAAGGTAAATTTGCTATAACTGATCACTTGGGTCTCAGCCTTTCCAGTATTTTCCTCTTTTAAGTGATTATATGACTTTACAAATGAAGTGCATCACAAACCATCAAATTTTAAACACCCAAACACAAACTGAATGCTTTATTCTGTTCTTCTTAACTTTTCCTCTGGGTCTTCAAAGTATTAAAGTGTTGCACAACGGGAGAGAAAATATAAGCGAAGGTCAGGTGATACATGTATCTTTAAGCTCCACGAAATTCGTTCCAAAGAGATTTTTGAAAACTAAAAAGAAGGCAACATTTAATTCCAGTCAGGGTACTGTGTTCAAACTTCACTGTCCAGTGTGTGAGAGCAAAGGACAAAAGAAAGGAGGTTCTGAAGCCCACAGTTCCAGTCTCCTACCCAAGTGGGATGCCAGTAGGAGGACACCAGGCTGCACCACCTCCCACAGTAAGCTTTCAGTAAAGATTTCCCACCAGGAGGGCATGGGATCTTTTCCCACACATCATGGGATAAGTCTTACAATCATGAAAAACCACCGAAAGTACTAATAATTTGGGAAGTTTTGTTTATTTCAAAGAGGGTTTTCCTTTCAAGGGGACTCTTCTGCAAGATCAAGCAAATTATATACTTCTCTTTGGTAAATTACAATTCACATTGGCACAATAAGCACATGGTAACTAATCTACTCGAATTTTATTCTCACAAATCCAGTTGAGTCTTGATTTTATTTCTAAAAGGTTAAGGAAGTCTAGTCTACCAGTTATAAAAATGAAAACCAGTTAGAATTCTAAATATAAACACATTACTTACATTAGTTTATAAAAATAGATTTGAGTTTAGGAAAAGTTAAACAACTAGTAATTTTCACTTCAGTTCATTAGGCATAATGAATTCCTTGGTTTTTAAGGCTAACCCTGTTTCCTTGTTTAGCAATGTCAATTGGGGGGGGGGGTGTGCCAAAAGAGCACTTAGAGAATCATTTAACTGATCTGTTTCCCACTAGGTAAGTTACTGGCTAAAAAAAACACATTAATCTTCATACATAACACTGACAGCTTAAAAAAAGTAATGGTCTAAACTTTTCAAACATTCTTGATGCCACGATTATACTATACTGTATTAAATTGCTTTCTAGGTATTGGTAATGATATTTTTGTTACTTAAAAACTTTTATGTTAGGGGCACCTGGGTGGCTCAGTCGGTTAAGCATCTGCCTTTGGCTCACGTCATGATCCTGGGGTCCTGGGATGGAGCTCCCATAGCAGGCTCTCTGTTCAGCGGGGAACCTGCTTCTCCCTCTCCCTCTGTTTCTGTCAAATAAATAAAATCTTAAAAAAAAAAAAACTAAAAACTTTTATATTAAATCTGTAATTGGTCTGGGAAAAACTTACCTATAGCTTTATTGGGTATTCCTGGATTAGTAGATAAGTTCGTTGACTAACACATCTGGAACTAATGAAAAAACTTACACAAAAGTTTAAAATCCAATACAATCATCAAAGCAACTAAATGACAATTATTAGGAAAACAATTTAAAACTTTATTTTCTACAGAAGGCATATTTTAAAAAGTTAACTGTTTGCTTTCTTCCTATTTGGGCAAAACAACCTATCCTAGGACAGCATTCCCTTAAGTCCCATAAAACAGTGGTTCCCAAATGCACAGGGGTGAAATGAGAAAAAAAAAGGACAGTGTAGTGTTTTTTTCCAAAAAAGCTGTATTTATTCCATTTAAAGGACTGTCTTATTCGGAGACTGTCCTTTTATGAAAAAAAAAATGGTGATAATACAGTGGTTTCTTTCAGATTACTTGGCAAAATACATTGGCAACCCTGTCCCCCAAATTTTTGGAAATGTTACTGGTCCATGAAATCCAAAAGTCTGGGAACCACTGCCATGTAAAGACTAATTTTGCAGGTTATTAACAACTGTTAAGTGGAAAAAAAACTTCTGTGGTCAAATGTTCGGGAAATGATACTACAGAATTTCACAGTCATGTGAATTAATGGCAGCTATACCCCATTCCCCAAACTTGGACCACTAAACACATTCAGACCCACCATTAATTGGAAAGACATTGTAAAAATCTGAACAACTCCTCTGACTTTGGAATTCCAACAAATTTCTTCAAATGAAGTTGACATTAGCATTTCAACAGTCTGACCTATGACTTGGCTGAAACTAAGGAAATGGTATCAGCAACATTATCAATATTAAACTTTTAATATCAAATACATTTTTGTACATGTTACTAATTTATGTAATTATAAAACAATCAAAAGCTCCATAAAATCAGTAAGGTAAAAGCCCTTACTGAATATTATATAAACTTCAGATGTTACCAGGCTTGATTTCAGGAAAAGTCATTGGTTTTTGATACAAAGTATCTACAAAACAATGTGGTATAAATGGTATTTGAATTTTACAATAATGTGGCTACAATCTGCCCACTACTCTCCTAGGTGTCAGATCTTTAAAGTTCATTTCCATTCACACATTTCTGCTGTTGAAGCCTGGTTCTTCTTAAAGACTCTAGCTGCTTTGCTCTGAGCCACCGCTCTCTTGACAGTGTGGTCTGACCGGCACTGAGAGACAGAAACCTGGCGTGAAACACAGAAACGGATTTAAGTCTAGACCTAGGACAGGACCTAGTTCTTTTTCTTTCTTTCTTTCTTTTTAAAGAACCTAGGAATACTGGGTTAGGGGTCAAGACCATCTGGTAGCTACATACAAGTCCAGAGCCAAGTTAGACTTCCACAGAGGGATCTTTGAAGTTCAGAGACAAAAGGCAAGCCTGTTCCACTGGTCACGGGCCAAACACAATCCCCCTTCACTATGCCCTTTCACAAGGTATTTTAAAGGAAAAACATTTCCACTGGTAGAAATCTGCCTCAGTTACTCCTCTAAAAATTGGGAGGTTCATACAGAGCTTACTAAAACAGCAATTATGGACACGTACTACTCACCGAGCTACAATGAGCAACTGGTGGAGATCGTCAGCAGTGATGCTCTGAGGGTCATTCTTGCGCATTTCCACGAAGTCCTCTTCAACTGCCTGTACCAAGAGAGTAGGTGGACTGCAACACTACTGCTTATGAAGAAACGCTATGCATTATGTAGGGAGAAGCAAAGTAACATGGTCCATCGGCTGATGCGAAAATGAGGAAGTCAGCCCTGCTGCTCAGGCTTCTTAGGAGATGAGGCTAACAGAGCCACGCCTCACCCACAGGGATAATGCTGCTGACAGACCTGGGGGGAGGCCAAACATCTAGGTCCAGCAATGTGCACGGCCAACAGGGCAGGGTAATAATGCCAGCAAAAGTGGCAGAGTGAGGGAGGGCCACGGAAAATTCCAGTGAATTTTTATCCATTGAAGGGTACAAGAACACTAGCAAAAACTATCAGAATCTGCTTCTTCAAAAGTCTGAACATTAACCAGAATACAGGGAGCATTTGTTCAAGAAAGAACACTGGGCTTTGAGGCATTTTAGTTTCCCTATCCACCCCCACCCCACCCCTGCAGCCCTGAAAAGGGGCAGCCTGGCCATCACAAGAGAGGGTTCTTTCAAAGCACCATTCCTGAGATCTGTCATTCTCATGACTGGTGGTTCCCTGCGAGAAGCCATGTGCAAGGCTATGTTTATTCGGCCTGACTTGCTTACCCAGTGTGAACAGCCTCTTCTCCCAGGGAACTTAGCAAAAACAATCAGAAGCAATTACTGATCATCCTGGCTGCTTCACGCACTGGACAGTCGTTGGGGCAAATAGGGAGCTAACCAAAACCCTTAAAAGAAAAAACTAGGAAAAGAGAACTTTTCTCCTCCCAAAAGCCCCGAAAGGACGATCTATCTCTATCTCCCCAGGAACGCAGAAGGCCACATGCATGCAAAGGGGCGTGCACACCCTCAGAAGATCGGAGCAGGCCCTAAGCTATCCTGCGTGACCACCTCTGTGCAAGCAGAAAGAAGGGTGGGTCACAGCTGTAAACAGTTGCCAGAGTGTTCAAGGCCTGCCCCCATGGAGACACAGAGCCCTTGGCTTTGACTGGGAGACCTGTTTCCAGGCATCTAAGGAAATCAAATTTCTATCTGATCACTGACTGAGCTAACAGGGCAGAGACTCCAGGAACAGCATATAAAGAATACATTTCATAGAGTTCATTCAGAAAAGCCACTAAGCAATAAGCCACAACAACAAAGCCTAGGGAGAGGGAGGATCCACCAGAGCAGAGATATCCTATCATTTAAATATCTGGTTTTCAAAACAAAAATGAAGAGACATAGAAACAAGAACATCTGAACCCCTTCACTGGAAACAAAGAAGTCAAACAGAAACAGTCCTTGAGGAAACCCAAATATTGGACTTGCTAGACAAAGACTTTTTTTTTTTAGATTTATTTGAGAGAGAGAAACGGTGAGAGAGGCGTGCACGAGAGAGCACCAGAGGTGGAGAGGGAGAAGCAGGCTGCGTGTCGAATAGGGAGCCTGACGTGGGGCTCGATCCCAGGACCCGGAGATCATGACCTGAGCCGAAGGCAGATGCTTAACCGACTGAGCCACCCAGGCGTCCCTAGACAAAGACTTCAAATCAGCTCTTTAAATACATTCAAAGAACTAAAGGAAACCACATATAAAGAGCTAAAACAAAGTAGGAGAATGATGTCACACTGAATAAAAAATACCAAGAGAGATAGATAGAAATTATTTAAAAAGCAAGTAGGGGGCGCCTGGGTCACTCCATCGGTTAAGCGTCTAACTCTTGGTTTCGGCTGAAGTCATGACCTTGGGGTTGTGGGAAGGGGCACAGCATCAGGCTCCACGCTCAGTGCAGAATCTGCTTGGGATTCTCTCTTTCCCCCCCTGCCCCTCTTTCCCCTGCTCGCTCATTCACTCTCTCTGAATAAAGTCTTTAAAAAAAAAATAAAAAGCAAATAGAAATTCTGAAGGTGAACAATATAACTGAGACTTAAAATTCACTAGAAACAAGGCTCAGCGTTGTGCAGCAGGCAGAAGGTCCAGCAAACGTGCAGAAAGGTCAACTGCAAATGTCCAGTGTGTGCAGGAGAAAGTCAAGGGAGGAGGAGAAATGAACAGAGCAGAGCCTCAGCGACGTGTGAGACACCATCACGTGTACCAACACTCACATACAGAGTGCTGGAAGGAGAGGAGGGAGAAAGGGGCAGAAAGAAATTTAAAGAAATAATGGTCAAAACTTCACCAAATTTCTTGAAAACTTCCCCAAGACGTGCATTAATCTGCACACCCAAGCAGCTCAATAAACTCCAGTAGGATAAACTCAAAGTGCTCCACACCCACGGACACATCACAGCTGAACTGTCCAAAGCCAAGGAAAGTCTTGAAAGCACAAGAGCAAATGACCCTGAGCCCAAAGAAGCCTCTCCTCAGAAACTAGCGGACTTCTCAGAGACCACAGGGCCGAAAGACAACTGGAGGACATACGTAAAAAGTGCTGAAAGAGCAAGTCTACAAACCAAGACCTCTACACCCAGTAAAACGAGTCTCCAAAAATGGAGAAATTAAGACATTCCCAGATAAGCAACAATTTAACGGGACTTGTCACAGCAGATCTGCCCTACAAGGACCACGGAGGGTTCTTCAGGCTGAAATGGAAGGACACCACACAGTGACCTGAATCCACGCAAAGACCAGTAAAGGGAACGACATGGGTAAATATAAGAAGCAGTGTAAAGGTCTTTTTCCTTGTAACTTCTTCCCTCTGATTTAAAGACAACAGCATATTTATTTCCCCCTGCCTCCATCCCCCAAAACCTCATCATTCTTTATGTTCCTACTTTATAGGTTGGTTCTCTGAATGTAATAAAGAACTTGATCCGAGTCAAAAAAATAAAAAAATAAAAAAGACAACAGCATAAAACAAGAATTATAAATGCGTTGATGGTGCACCATAGACAAAAGACATACAGAGACCAAACAGCAAACTTACCTCACCAGCAGTCACAGTAAACCTAAGGTGATTAAACCGTCTAAATCAATACAGGGAAATCGTTTCTTTGACCCCAAACACACCTTGGTTATCTCATCGGAGATGCTGTAATCCAGGAACCTCAGAAGGGTCAGGTAGATGCGGAACTTGTTCAGCACGGAGGGCAGCACGGCGGACAGAAGGCTGTCCATGTACTCCTCCATGTTTGGGGGGGTGAGCTGGGGCTGTAAGTGGATCTGGCAGTCTGCCTGGAGAGAGAACCAGGACACAGTATTTTCCAAGTTCCTAAGTTAATCCGAAATTTCAGGAGGAGGCTTTGTCCATATCAGGGGTGAAGGAATCAGGTGGTCACTGGGGGGAGGTCACTTTTTAACATTAATTTATAAGCACCGTGACTCCCTCAGTGATAATTACAAAAGCGAGCCTTTCTTTGGTTATACTTACACATCCTCAACAGGATGAGTAAACACATAAAAAGGTAGCCAACCTCTAAAAATAGCTAATTAAAATGTTTTCAAGGTTTCTTTAATCCTGGAATATGTACTCTATGTCTTACTGATCTGCCTTTCTAGAAACCATATAAAGCAAATCACACTTTCCCACAGAAAACTTACACATGGGCCACACTAGTGAACACTAGTTTATAGAGAAACTATACACCTTTTAAGCAACTGGGCGTACTTCTCATCATGAAGAAACTCAATTAAAAGCTCTCTTCATCAGTCACTCTAATGATTTACCAGAGCATTTCACCATAAAGCATAAAAATAATTACCATGTCATCAGGAACATTTTAAAAGGAACTCTAAAATATTTCTCACATAAGATTGACGGAAAACAATGGGACCGAGGCATTAAGAACAAAGGTCTAGATGTCAATCAGACAATTTATCGACAGCTTCTACTTTCTATGCCTGGATGTGGGGGTTGCTGCCACCAACACCTTCCCTTCGCTTGTCTTGTGATTTGCCATAATCTGGTTCTTCACAGATAGTTTTTCATCCTCAAGGCAGGAACAAAATAATTAATTCTCTTACTGATAATCAGCAGCCCCAATTTTGAAACAATTTTAACTTCTCAATAATAAACTATACCAAGAAACAAATAAAAATTTAGGTATCTTTCTAATGCAACCTCCCTGCATCTTAAAATGTCTCATCATACCGGTAGGAGTGATCTCCCCTCCGAAGTAATAAAAACATTAATATTGCAGGGGAATTCCATCTGGTGGTAACTGAAGTCATAATCCACCTTCTGCCAAGTTATTAGGTTGCTCAGGGCAGTCACATTATGAACACCTAGAAAATAAAAAAAAAAAAAAATTTTTTTGGTTACTTGATTTTAATCACTTAAACAAATTGGTTTTACTGACACTGACTATGTAAGACATGAGGTTTCTACTGCTTTAAAAAAAAAAAAAAAGTATCTCAGGCACTGTTCAACTTCCTAAGCTAAATGTTCACTAAGTAACAGGCTTCACAGACAATACTGGTCAAGCCAAACAAATGTATTTTGGGGCCAAGACCCCCCCAAATCTAATCTAGCATCTGGTATGCAACTGGGCATAAGACACGTTTCCAGTAAGTACAATCACTTTCTATGTGGTTTGTTCCCAGGTCTAGAACAATATGGTAGAACTGATTATTTTTATACTCACCTGTGCCTTAAGGATACCCCATCCACACTATTTTCTCTTCTACCTTTACCTCTTGAACTTACCGCCAGCAAAGTGTCTTCTCAATCCTCATCTGAGCACAAATAAAGCAGTCCGCTTCCTTACCATTTTAGAACAAGTTCCCATAACTAAAGTTACTTCAAACCTTCCAACCTATTTTTTTTCAGAGATTCTTCGAAAAACAAATTTTAAACTTCACATTGGGCAGTAAAAAATGTTTTACTAGATCTTCTCTACACTTTTCTTTTTAGCTAACACTTTTTTTTAGCTAACATAGGACTGAAGGCAAACTCTCCTCCCTCCTCAGCCTCTCCAGGGCTCCTTGTGACGTCCCTGTCCCGTGCCGGTGCTACCGGCACACTGTGACAAAATGCAGCGGAGGTACACAGTCTGTAAGTTTCTAATCCCCACATTATACCAATCCACACGGCACGCCTCGATCTTGAATACTTGTGAAATGTGAGTGTATCTCGGATCGGTGGTTCTTTACAAGGCATCACCGGAGCTGCTTTCACGGCGGGTTGGACACGAAGGGGGACGGCCCATTCGTACCCGGTGTGTCCAGCTGCCCTTGCTCTAGGAGGGTTTCGTCAACCACAAGGGAAGTGTTGCTCGGGAGCTGGAGGAGGCCACTGACCAGGCGGTTGGCTGTATAGTCTTTGTGGGGGATGAATTTCAAACGGTTCATGTTCTCTATAGTCATCTGCAGACGAAAAGACTGCAAAGAGAAATTTTTTAATGAGCAAGGAGCAAAGGTTCTCTGTTTTAAGAAAATACATATTTGGGGTTAAATACTTTCCATATGTGTATAAGGAAAGGTCTTATCAATTTCTAAGGATGTAGTTTCATGGCTTCTTGAGCTCTTAAAGCAAAAATCTTACATAGACCTTAAATAATAAACCTCCGTCGTAAATAAGAATCGCACTAATTCTATGAGCTGTTTTATTCTCAACTGTTTTAATTCAGTATTCTTAAATAATTTCTATTTTACCAGTGAACCAGAAACGAATGATAGATACTTTGGATACATTTACCAAATATTCAAAAAGCTTAACTTCTTTTACCTACCACGACCACAGGCTAGCAAAACAGAAAATATTTATTTATTCAAGATGGGAAAAGAAAAGCTTAATTTTCTTCGGTGCTCCTCGAATTAAAATCACCATCATCAGGCACCCGCAGACCAGGGGACAAACGATCCCAAAGAGAGTCGAGGAACAGAGCACACTAAGCCGGGCCCAGGCACGGCGGGTCCTAGAACGTGCTGCAGGCTGCCTCGTCTGATCTTAGCACGGGATCTGTTAGACCCCTCTGCACCCACTCTGCCTCCCCGCGCCCACCACTCAAGGCCCTCTGCACCCTGCTTCACACTCCACTCTCCCTTCCTATCACTCCAGCCTAAAAAGAAGTATGTGTGGTAAGGGTGGAGACTGGCATTGGGGAGAAGGGTGCTGAGGAAGAGAGAAACTTTCAGAATTTACAGGATTACTGTACTGTGGCTCAGGGATTCAAAGAAAATGGGCAGAGGGCTGGGACCACATTATAGACAGAAGCAAACAAGCCCTACAGAAGCACAGTCATCAGAACACAAGGGAGCCTACGGCAGGGTCTAGCTCCATGAAAGCCAAAGTAGGTCGCTCATACTGAACCCACTGTGAAAACTAAACAAGATATGAACGTGCCAAGTGTTCAGAAAGAGTTTGGCACTAGACAGACACACAAGAGGAATGGAAGGGAGTGGGATATGGTAACAATGAAAAAGTAACACAAGCTCACTACGAAGAGATGCAAAATGAAAAGATCAAAAAGGAAATACCTCCCACAGATAACTTTCACATTTAAAATGTAACTCGTGTCCCAAGTAAGTGCGCTAGGCAGCTGCTCGGACTTCACCCCCTTCTCCCCAGAATCATTCCACACCGGCCCCTGTCCAGCGTGCCTCCAGCCTGCCGAGCACACTGCTGCCTCAGAGCCCCCGTGCCTGTTCTCCCATCTCCCACAGGATGGACATTCCCCCCAACAGAGCCATGTGGCTTGCTCCCACCTGTGTCAAATCTCTCCCCAAATTCCCCGAAGGGGAGACCTTCTCTGACCACACTGTATACAGGAGCAACTCCACCCTAGTCCAGCACCCCCTAGTCCCCTTCTCCTGGGCCTTAACTCTTCTCCCATGGCACTTCAACGACATATTCTGTATTGGTCTACCACAATCATCTAAAATGTGACTATGCCAGTAACTCCCAAAATGTGGTCCAGGGAACTCCCAAGGAGTTACTGATTCACTTTTATGGAGTCCACGCAGTCAAAATCATGCATGGATAAAAGACTCATTTGATATACAAGACAGACCAAAGAATTTATTACAGCAGAGTATAAAAAGTTCACTGAGGAGATTACAGATTTCACACTCACAACTATCCTTCAAGAAAATGTCAGGTGGGCAGTTTTAGTCTGGTATCAAATACCGACAGTTATCCAAAAAAGGCCAGCTTTCCTTCATATACTTCATTCAAAACATCCTATTGTAAGAGACTGAATGCAGAAACAGATTTGACAATCCAGCGGTCTACTAATCCAGATATTAAAGAGATTGGGAAAAATTTAAAACCACGTCACTTTTATCACTAATGTTTTTTGAATTAGGAAAATAGCTACTGTTACAAAAATATTTTATGTTCCTGTGTAATTGATTTATTTTCATGAATATTTTAGTATATTTTTAGTTTTAATTTCTACTATGGTACACTGGTAATAAAAACAACCCAGATAAACTACACCTCTTCGAGTCTTCAATAATTTTTTCAGAGTGTCAAGTGAGTCAAGGAGTGAGAAATGCTGGTCTGTTTGGTCCACTGCTGTTGAAGGGCCTGGAAGAGTGCTAGCATTTACCCTCCAATGACATGGTCACATGAATGATCTATTTTAACCTCTTAAATCTCCAAAATAAGAAGTGATCAGCATTGCCAGTCGCATGCTCATTCCCAATGTCTCACCACCACATAAACCCTGCATTCCACACGCCCTGGCCAACAAGGCAGCTCAACTTTCCAAACAGAAATTAAAACTAGGGCAATGGCGATAAAGATCTTTATTACCTCAGCTAAATGAATTATGCTCCTGTAATTAAGGCTTAAAGATTTAAGATTTTAATGCACACAAAGGATAGATACCAAGTTGTACAAATTGGCATCAATAGAGAGCATAATTTTAAGGGACTTACTTGCAATCATGCCATTAGAGTCCAGAAATTTGTGCTAAGGCAATAAAAGTGAAATGTTTAGGGGTGAGTATGTAAATTATGGAACCTGGCAGCCTTTGTTTCCCCTTAATAAGATCTATTAAAATCTCAAATCTAAATACTTGGGTTGAACAAAAGACAATTAGATGGATTTTTAAAGTGTGCTCAGGTTTCTTTTTTTTTTTAATTTGAGAGAGAGAGCAGAGCGAGTGAGAGAGAACACAAGTGGAGTGGGCAGGGGCAGAGGGAGAGGCAGAAGCAGGCTCCTGAGCAGGGAGTCAAATGTGGGGCTCGATCTCAGGACTGTGGGATCATGACCTGAGCTGAAGGCAGACACTTAACTGACTGAACCACCCAGGTGCCCCACTGTGTTCAGATCTCTAATAAATATTTATATGGATCTTACTGCTGGAACAAGATGTTGAATAATCCGGTATAAGTGTTCTGTGAAGGTACTATTCCGTGGGCAACCACTCAAGTTAACTGTGAATTTTCCCAGTGGAAGAACATCTCTTCTTGTATACCTAGAATAAAAAGATGCCAACCAGTAAGATATTCAGGTGATTTCCTCATTTCCAACGAAAAGCAACCAAAGATCAGCACAATATTGTCATTAAAAATAAAGCAAATTACTCTGACCAGTTCATTTATCAAAATAACAGCAATAAAAATAATAGCCAGTACTCATACGTGAGCACTGTGCATGTGCTAGGGACTGTTCAGAGTGCTTAAATGTCTCATTTGATTTCCAGACTCTCTGAGGCAGGTTAGCAGGACGTAGGAGAGCTGGATTCGACCCTACAGGGTTTGGCTCCAAAGCCTGTGTGCTCAACCATTATGTATTGCGGTCTGAAGTCCTAGCCGAGGAAAGATGGGGAGCGCAAAGACGCTGACAGCAGTGTCAAATGTAATAGAGGAAAACTAGGAAACCTAGCATTTAAAGAACTAGGACAACAGTCTACGATGAAATGCCATGCAGCCATTAAAAAGTTCATGAAGAATTACAAAGGAAGAATGTTTAAGATATATGAAATGATAAAAACAAGATCAGTGGGTTTATAGAGTACAATGGAGATTTGTGCAGGGATGTACATATACGTAAACAAAAAAAGATGAAATGATGAGGCAAATGTGCTAACAGAGATCATCTCTAAGTGTGTGAGATCACAGACGATTTCCAGTTTCTTTATGCTCCTGGAACTCGTTGAAAACACACGCTACTTCTGAAATCAGGAAGCAGAGACCTGCAGTGGGGCGGAAATGAGGTGAGCACCTCCGCATACAAGTTAGATGTGTGCATGCCGGGCCTTGCAGAGCCTTGGGATGTATAAATAGAGATTTTCAGAATGCAAAAATAATAAAATAGCTCATTTTACTCATCGGCCAGGTTCTTTGACTGTGGCTCTTCTATTTAAGACATAAACAAAAGGTTAAATGTGAAACAAAAAAGGTGGACAAAGGAATCTGTGATTTCGTGTAACACTTGTCACACTGAACAAATAAAAACCATCTGATGATGAAGCTAATAAACTAACACAGAAGTTACCTGAGCAACCTTCCTGCTCTTTTCAACTTTCAACAACACCCCACCTCCCCTGCCTGCCACCGGGAACACGGCACTTACACTGTAGAGATGAGATGCAGTATCAGGTACTCAGCGGCCAAGCTGTCTCCCAGAAGGGCATGTGTGAGGAACCCAAGCAGCTCTGCTCGGACAGGAGACAATTCAGACATGAAACCTGAAACGACTGGAGAAGGGAGGGAGACCACATTCAGAACACACATACCAGCTCCTCCCGAGTGTCTCAGGCTCCGAAGGAAAAAAAAACCCAAGTGGAACACAGCACTAAAGTCAGTAGACAACAAATGCAGCCTTAAATACTGGTCATTAAATGAGGCCAATCTTCAAAATAAGACAGCTCGTAAACTTTTTTTGGCCTCATTTTAATAGAATTAACACAAAGGAAAATGGCCCAGAGTCACAGCAACTACTAGAGAAACTTAACCTGCGGCTCGCGGATCTGGCCGGCTCAGCCCCACCGTGAGCACATGGTGCAGGCACTCCCGCACATGCAGGGGCTCATGGTCTCTGGCTCCCAAGGCGTTGGCACTTACACTTACAGGTTTTGCTCTCCTCCTTGTTAAGGCAAGCAGGCAGTAAAGGATTGATGTGCTGCAACTTCTGGGCTAACACCACGTGAATTCTTGGCACTAACGAAGCAGGAGGGCTGTGCACCCTTTGCTCCTCAGCCGCGTCTGCACATTCCATCGGGTCCAGGAGCGAAGAGGCGTCCCTACGGAGACAGGAGGGAACTTCAATTCCCAGACACATCTCTGAGAAGAGGAATTCAAGCCAAGAGTGGTTCCACCTGTACATCTCCTTAAAGAACGGAAAATGGGAGATGCCTGGGTGGCTCAGTCGTTAAGGGTCTGCCTTTGGCTCAGGTCATGATCCCGGGGTCCTGGGATCGAGCCCCGCATCAGGCTCCCTGCTCAGCAGGAGGCCTGCTTCTCCCTCTCCCACTCCCCCTACTTGTGTTCCCTCCCTCGCTGTGTCTCTCTCTGTGAAATAAAGAAAATCTTAAAAAAAAAGAAAAAAAGACCAGAAAATGGCTCCTTTCTCAATTGTCAGGTCACATAGATCTCAGGCTAGTTAGGTCATACAAGGATATGTATGTGTTTTTTCAAGAAAAAGAACACTTTTGGGGCGCCTGGGTGGCTCAGTCATTAAAGCGGCTGCCTTCGGCTCAGGTCGTGATCCCGGGGTCCTGGGATCGAGCCCCGCATCGGGCTCCCTGCTCGGCGGGAACCTGCTTCTCCCTCTCCCACTCCCCCTGCTTGTGTTCCTGCTCTTGCTGTGTCTCTCTCTGTCAAATAAATAGATAAAATCTTTAAAAAAAGAAAGAAAAAGAACACTTTTACTGAGTATGCTGTAACTGCAATTAATGGGATAGAACACATCACTGATAAAGAATATCTGTGTTTTGAAATCACCTTATCAGCTGAAACATGAAATACTTCATAGCATGCCTCAAAAACCGGGGTCTTTTTCTCAAAAGCCATTAGGTATCTATTAATCAGTGTGGAAGATCCATTCATCTCTTATCTTGCTAATTGCTTTTCCTGAATTTTATTCCTCCACGACACCCCCCTTGAATAGTGAGTAGTCAAGCAGTGAAAAAGTGTGAGTTTTTCAGATATGCTAAATAAATTAGCAGACAATGGATTTATCATGATACGATTGAAACAAATCACTAAAATGTGTTTAGAACTTCAGACTTTACAGGTTGCTCTACCGAGTCACCCATTCACACGGCTACCCTCCTTACAACACAAGGAGGCTGACAACCTTTATGTGGTCTGGACCACATGTTGGGCAGTGTCCTTCACTGTGCACACACCAATTCAGTACGCCTCACCTACCCTGGTCTCCAATGAGGAAACCAAGGCCCTGAGGAAGTCACATGGCCAGTAAATGGCCACACCAGGTTGGCACCCTGAGCCATCTGGCTCACTCTGTACACTAAGCGGCTTCAACCAGTGAAGTGACTGAAGCAGGAAAAGCACCATCACCAGAAACAGCCAAGACAAGCAATTTGCTATACTATTATTAAGGAATGCTATTTAAAATTCTTTAAAGTTGTTTAAAATTTTTGTCCCCCCCTCCTGTGAAAAGTGAGTTCTTCTTATAGGGAAACCAAGATGAACATCCAATACTCAACAAGAAAACTACTGTGTAGAGGGATATGACTCCATTCTTTTGGCAAACTCAAAACAATATAAGAAAGAATGAAGAAGATCTGGATTTTCAGGATATATTGTTAAATGTGGAGAGAAAGTGTAAAGGAATACATGTATCATGCTTTTATATAATAAAGGGGAATAAAATATACATGTGTCTACTTATTTTTGCAAAAAATACAGCAAAGATGAAAGCAGAAAACAGGCTGGTTCCCTATGGACAGTGAATGGGAACAGGGCAGGGGGGATGACACCCCTACATTCTTTGTGTGTAGCTGTGATTTGGGCCAACAATGTCAATGTTTTCTATACTTAAAAAATCAAAACAATAAGGACAGAAGAAAAACTCTGAAGTGAAATGCAATGGAAACAAATGAGCTAACTACATAAAATGAAAAATGAGCGAAAGAACCAAAGGGGAAGAAAACTCACCCCAGTAACTTTAGACATAGCACTCTGACTATACACCTCATTCTAAGATACAAAGAAGTGGACACCAATCTTGGACTCAAGTTATGAGGTTTGTTTTTTGCAGTGGTATGGATTACCAATTCTGAAATTACCTTTTCTGCACTGTGGAATATATTAAGAATAATGAGAGTCAAGCTTCTTTGTGTCCGAAGAGGAGTTATAAACATGGGAATGGAGGAGAGAGAGCATCTGCGTGCAGAACTGGAACTAGAAACACTGTGAACACACAGTTCTGATAGAGAGACTTGAAAATACATGAAGATATATGTGTATGGGTATATACATGTGCATTTATTTGTATGCATACAGTGTATGTATATAAGTATTTCCCAGCCCTGTCCACTAAAAGGGAATAAAAGCAATACCAATCCTGGTACCAATGAGCACACAAGCACTCAGATCTTGACTTTTAAATAAAATCCCTCACTAAAAGAAACTGATACTCCTTAGAAAAATGGCTGATACTGCAGCTGGAGCATGGGAAGGACAAGATGAGGTTGAAACAGCATAATGTGTCAGAAAAGATACGTTAAAAATAAGGTCATGTCGGCAAGGACCCAGAGCCTACTTACAATGACTCCCACTAGCCAAATGAGAAAATTCGAATCTCAAGCACCAGACTAACATCCACACTGACATAAACAAATTACTTAAATAAACAAATGAGAGAGAAGGAAAATCTCTCTTCTAACAGAATGGCAATAAACAAGTGTGGAAGGAATGGTTGAGATAGAAAATCACCATCTGGTAATAACTGATTCAAGAATCATCAATGGATAGGGGCACCTGGGTGGTGCAGTCGGTTGAGCGTCCGACTCTTGGTTTCAGCTCAGGTTGTGATCTCAGGGTTGTGAGATCGAGCCCCGTATCAAGCTCCATGCTCAGCGCAGTCTTCTTGAGATTCTCTCTCCCTCTCCCTCTCCCGCTCATGCTCACTCTAAAATCTTTAAAAGAAAAAAATCATCATCAATGGATTTAAAATAAGTGGATGAGGGACACGTGGGTAGTTCAGTTAGTTAAGCGTCTGCCTTTGGCTCAGGTCATGATCCCAGGGTCCTGGGATGGAGCCCAACACTGGGCTCCTTGCTCAGCGGGGAGCCTACTTCTCCCTCTTCCTCTGCCTGCCGCTCCCCCGCTTGTGCACACGCACACTCGCTAACAAAATAAAATTTTAAAAAAATAAATAAGTTGATGAAAGTTAAGATGAGAAACTGGATATTTATGTAGTCTCCAAGTACCTCCTTCCAAATTACTTATTACAAAGTGAAAAACAGTAACTTTATAGGACAGAAACCTGGGAGATGCCACCTGAACCAATCAAAATTAACATCACCAGTAATGGGGCACAATGACATCACGTGCCACCTGATATGACAGCCTGAATCTAATCATGAGGAATCACACAAACCCAAACTGAAATATTCCACAAAACGGCTGGATGTACTCCCCAAAGGTGTCAAGGCCCTCTGCCATGCGAGGACACAGGAAGAGAGCCAGCTGCAAACCAGGAAATGGGCCCTCACAAGCAGCAGATCCGTCAGCACCTTACTCTTGGATTTCCCAGCCTCCAGAACTGTGAGAAATGAATTTTTGTTAAGTTTAAAAAAAAAAAAGTGTCAAGTTCAGTAAAGACAAAAGTTGAGAACTGTTCCAGGTTAGTGGAACATGTGACCCTATGGATCCTGGATCAGGGAAAAAGAAGAAAAAAAAAACCAAAAAACACCAGAAGGAACAAGACTGAGATAATTGGTAAAATTAAGTACAGACTGTGGGTTAGCATACTGTGTATTTATGACAAACTTCCTAATTTTGATAGCTGTACTCTGTGTAAGACAAAGTCTTTGTTCTTAGGAAATATGGACTTGAGGGCCGCCTGGGTGGCTCAGTCGTTAAGCGTCTGCCTTTGGCTCAGGTTGTGGTCCCAGGGTCCTGGGATCAAGCCCCACGTCGGGCTCCCTGCTCAGCAGGAAGCCTGCTTCTCCCTCTCCCACTCCCCCTGCTTGTGTTCCCTCTCTTGCTGCGTCTCTGTCAAATAAATACTAAATTTTAAAAAAAAAAAAAGGAAATATGGACTCGAGTATTTATGGGATAATGTACACAACTTACTCTCGTTTCAGATAAACACACATGTACATAAAAATGTGCATATGTAAGAGCACAAATGAATGACAGAGCAAATGGGGCATAAGTGTTAACAACTGGTAAGTCTGGGTAAAGGGAGAAAGTTCTTTATAACTATCCTCCAGCTTTTCTGCAAGTTTGAAATTGTATCAAAATAAAGTTACCCAAAAAAGAACAGACTCACCTTTCATCATTATTCAGTATACTTAGCACAGGATCCACAGATAGGACACCATATAACTCAAGAACATCGTTGACTTTGAAACAATCCCAGTCTTCATAGACCTGATAGATCATAAGAAATCACGTTGTTAGGACTAAATAACACCAAAAAAATCTAAAATATTAGTTTTAAGGTTAAAGTAATAATATCTTAGATTTTTAGGTCAGGAAATGGACCTTAAAGCAACTCTTTTATTTCATAAATTGAAACCAAGAGAGGTAAAATACTTGCCTGAAGTCATTCTCCTAGTTAGCAATTAACAACTAAAACACAGGACTCCTGACTCCCAGAACAAGGTCTGTTGTCAATACACCACGCTACTTCGAAGAAAAGGCTTTCCCAAAGGATGATGGTCAACTAACATTAGAGACACGTGTTACTGGGCGCTTAGGTGGCTCAGTTGGTTAAGCGTCTGCCTTTGGCTCAGGTCATGATCCCAGGATTCTAGATGGAGTCCCACGTTGGGCTCCTTGCTCAGCGGGGAGTCTGCTTCTCCCCTCTCCCTCTGCCTCTGCCCCTCCCTCCGCTCGTGCTCACGCTCTTTCTCTTCCTCTCTCAAATTAATGAAAAATTAAATCTTAAAAAAAAAAGAAGAAAGAAAAACCTGCATTACCTCAAAATCTATTAAGTACACCAAGAGAAGGGGAAAAAAAACCAGGATTACTAACTTTGGACTTATTCACCAACTATGCACCATTAGGAGGATTAACACAAAACTCAGGCCATGAGGGTTTTCACAATAAAACTTTCAAAGTTGTCTGTCTTTGATGGACTCTAGTAACTGTCGAAGCCTCCTCGGGGTGAGGCTGAACTGAAGCATGGCAGGAAAGCTGTCCTCACTCTGGTCTCTGTGGTAAAGAACTGAAGGGCCATTTAAGTTTACCACAAAATATAAGAATGGAAATTCTCAATGATCATTTCTGAAACTTCTATTGCTTGTTTCACCTACCAGGATCAAAAAAACAGGGTAAGCAAGATAGAACAAACTACCAACAGATTTTTTTCCTTCTATTTTATTTTAAATACAAATGAGAAATGGATTTTGATGAGAGAAGAATGTTGAAAATGTTAGATATTGTTGGAAGCTGGAAATGACATAGGAGGTACACATGAATTAAAAAACTGTACCACTTCTGTGTTCGAAATATTCTTCAGATTTTTTTGAAGTGAGCCCTACACTCAACATATGGGGCTCGAACTCACAACCCCGAGATCAAGAGTCACAGGCTCCACCGAATGAGCCAGCCAGGCGCCCCATATTCTTCAATTCAAGAATGCCGTGGTAGGCAGAACATGGCCTCTCAAAGATGTCCACATCCTAACCCCTGCAATCTGTGAATGTTACTTTACAAGCAAAAAGGGATGTATGTAAATTCAAGACCCTGAGATGGAGACATTATCCTGGATTATCTAGTTGGGCCCAATCTAATCACGAAGGTCCTTAAAATCAGAGAATCTTTCCTACCTACAGTCCGAGGGAGAGGTGACTATGAAAACATGCTGGCTTTGAAGATGGAAGAAGGGGCCCCAAGCCAAGGAATGTGAGCACTCGTAGAAGTTGGAAAAGGCAAGAAAACAGATTCTCCCCCAGAGCATCCAGAAAGGAATGCAGCCCTAAGGACACCTTGATTTTATCCTCAGTGAGATCCATGTTGGACTTCTGACCTAAAGCCTGTAAAATGATAAATTTTTGTTGTTTTAAAAGCCACTAAAGTTGTGAATATTTGCTCCCGCAGCCATAGAAAACAAACACAAATGCTAAGAGTACTCCAGGTTAACTTCCAAGACACATTCCACATCTATGTTAAGGTCAGGTGTATAAAAGGTTTAGTACCTTCACAAGGCATGCAGGGCCCTTCTCCCCTGGCAGTGGAAAATTCAGGTCAAAGGGAGAAGAGAGGTTCAAGAAGTTCAGCTGTTGGCCAGTAGAAGCTTCAGTTTCTAAACGTTTTGGCTCTCCACACCACTGAAGACCACCAACACTCCCTAAATTCAAAGAACAGCACTGTACTTAGTCATTTTTAAGGCTTCCTGGAGAGAAAGAACATTCCTAAAGAGCCTTTCAAGTCTGATATAAATGATGCTTCTGAACTCAAAAACTTCAAGCTGTTATAGTTCTTAAGGAAGTACATATGCTAACAAAGCCTTTGTCTGACCTAAAAGAGAACAAAGATTATAAAGATCTGAAAAATTTAATTTCTCCGATACAATAAAATGGCAAAAACTCCCCCCCCTTCAAATCTCAAGTGTAACTATTTTAAAAGTTAGTATTTAATACAGTTACTTTGACATCCTTAACCTAAGAAATACATTGTCTACTGACAACAAACCCACCTTGGTAGAACATACTACTTTTTCTACTTATTACACAGAATAAAACCATATAGCAATAAATTCATTTACCAAATACTTAGTAACATCCATTGTGTAACTAGGAATCAGACTAGTTGTTGGGGATACAAAGATGATTTTAAAAATGCCCTCTATCCCTGAAGTGGTCATAGCTTAGGGCTTATACTTATTTAGAATCAACAGACAGCTTGCCACACCATAAAATATTGTTCAGCAATAAGAAGGAATAGACTACTGATACACGCAACCTGGATGGATCTCAAGTTTTGCTGAATGAAAAAAGCCAATCCACAAAGTGTACATACTATATGATTCCATTTACGTAACTTATTATTTTTTTTTTTTTAGGATTAATGCTAGACCGGAATCTTTTTTTTTTTAATTGAAGTATACCTGACTATGCAACACTCTTGCAATAAAATAACATTAGTGTAGAGATGAAAAATGGATTAGTGTTTGCTAGGGGTTAAGGGACTTGTGGGGAGGGGAGAGGCGGGAGAGCAGTGGGCAGGACTCTAAAAGGACAACTCGAAAGATGTAGGCAATGAACTGTTCTGCATCCTGTGGTAGTGGCCCCATGAGTCTACACGTGATGACACTGCCCAGAACAAAATACACGCACACAAATAAGTGCGTGTAGGAAATGTGAATGTAAGGTCGGTGGGTGGTAGCCATGTCCATTTCCTGGTTATGATATTCTACTCGAATTATACAAGATGTTACCATCAGGGGAAACTTATTTCTTACAGCTACATATGATCTACACTTATCTCAAAAAAATTTTTTTTAAATATATAGCTTGAAAGATTACCTAGAAACTGACAAACAAGTTACACTGTAAATAATGCACTCAAATGTACAAAAAACCCTACAGTCTAACATCCAAATAAAAGCAAAAAAGAGGAGAGAGCATCAGTTGCTTAGGTGATAACAGAATTACCATATATCCTGGATTCTAATGCTACTTATTGTTATGATACACCATTAATTTTAATAAACATTTAGGGGGTGGGTGAAGAAAAAGAACACCCCCACATTTGTATAGATTTACTATAAAACATTCCGACGTTAAAAACATTAAAATATGCCTTAGCTCTAAGGAAATACAGTAATATTAACTTATAAAATAGGAAAATATATGGTTAAATGAAATTCATTAGTAATTCTTTGTTAACCACTCTCAACCCAATCTTAGAGATGCCCCCTGACTAGACTGACTTGACCCCCTCGCCCTTCAACTTGCCCTCTGATGATGGTCCTAAAGAGAAGTGACTGGACACAAAAGTAGGAATAAAGACAAACTTATCTACCTGCCACAACAAAGATACTCACTATTCCTAAACACTGTGACTGGTGAAATCAAGAATGAAATATGCCAATTCTGAAACTGTCTCATGCTCTTAGATACTGCAACTTTTGATCCCCCTGTGTTTTTTTTTTTTTTTTTTTAAATTTTATTTTTATTTATTTATTCATGAGAGACAGAGGGAGAGAGAGAGAGAGAGAGAAGCAGGCTCCCAAAGAGCAGGGAGCCCGATGTGGGACTCGATCCCAGGACCCTGGGATCATGACCTGAGCCGAAGGCAGACGCTTAACCATCTGAGCCGCCCAGGCGCCCCAGATCCCCCTGTGTTAATCAGAATTTATTGGGCTTTCAGCATGTTTCAAGACAAACCACTACAAATGTGCGTAAATAGAACAAACAGAACTGTAACTATTCTAAGGGCTCTCTGCTCTGAAGTTGAGGACAAAGTTACCTAGTGCACCACAATTTCATGGTTTTCCTCTATGTTTTCAATCTCAATAAATTAAAGTACCACTATCTTGGGACACCTGTGTGGTTCAGTCAGTTAAGCATCTGCCTTTGGCTCAGGTCATAATCCCAGGGTCAGGCTCCCTGCTTAGTGCGGAGTCTGCTTCTCCCTCTCCCTCTGCCCCTTGCGTGCACGCGTGCACACATTCTCTATGCCTCTCTCGCTCATGAATAAAATCTTAAAAATAAAAATAAAAAATAAAGTACTACTATCTCAAAAGGAAAATAAAAAAAAGGATGTTTTCAGAAAAATATTAAAAAAAAACATTTTCAGGATAAAATACTAGGCTTCCATATTACTTAGGAGCTGAGACAAAAATATAAAGAATGAGAAAAAGACCTTTCTCAACTAACAACCTGAGACTCTTACAAACTAATAAGAAAGCAGACACTTCTCACGAAGTGATGCCTAACTGCTCAGTTATGAAGCAGTTTGACCAAGGAGTACTGTAGAAGCCCTCAAAACTGTTTGTAACAGCAATGAACTTGAACGCAACGTTGTCAAATCATTGTCAATTCCTAAATCTAGAGCTAAATTATACAATTAGTTCTGAAAATGGATCTGAGAGAGAAATGTACAGAAAGCCTGTTGGCATACATTACCTGCTTGCCTGGCACCTGCATGTTGGTCTTTCTGTTTACTGGGCTGTAGGTCCATATCTTCATCATCTTCGTAACTCCTCTTGTGACGACTGGGAGTGTAGGACGTTGAAGGACTAACTCGAGCTTGGTTTGCATTCACATAGGCGTTAAATGAAAAGTTAAGGAAAATCTACGATGAATTGAGGAATATCCTAATAACAGGGCTAATAAAAGATTATTGGTTTGGCAATTTGGTTAAAATTAAAACATCCTTTTAAAAGACTGGACTTCCAGTTTTGATCATGAGAGTAGCAGCTTAACCTCATGCCCACTACCTGTGCTATAAAGAAATTGTACAACTGGACAAAAGACTTAAGCAACTGTTTTTAGTCACTGAACACCGTAAGGGAACATAAGGTTATAATCCTTGAATAAGGAAACACACTGGTAAACTCCACAATCTTCCCAGTTTTCTCTTGGGAACATTTCCCAAACTGCAACAAAAAGAAGTGAAGGCCCTGCCCTTGCTGGGTAGAGAAACTGACCACACAGTTCAGGGCTACTGAGCAAATGGAAGTTGCAGAACAGTAACAGAGAGGCAAGAGTTGCAGATAAAGACCCAGAAACCTTTGCAGGTTCCATCTGGGTCTCTGGCTAAACATAAAACCATGGATGTACAAGTCCTTGAGGGCTAGCAGGGAACAACTGCTAGTTGGCTGGGAGTTAAATGGAGATTCTGGATTTGTACAATACTAGAACTGGACCCTCATGAACATCTTGGGCACTTAGGTGTGACCCAGAAATAGCACATCTCATGAGTAAGGACTACGTCCTACAGATCAAGGGCTATTCCATACCCATCTTAACAGATCCCAAATCAAGCCATGACAAGGTCAAAGTGATCCCACTCAAATCGCCTGCCCGTCAGAACAAAATGCCACATTCTTAGAAGACAAAACCAAACTCTCTACAATGTTGTACATCACCATATAGGAACACATTACTAGTTATACATGAAGAGGCAAGAAAATATGACCTACAATCAGGATTAAAAATAATCAATAAAAACAAATCCAGAGATGACTCTGATATTGGTATTAGCAGACAAGGGCACTAAAAAGGCAATCTAAAACTCACCATTTTTTTTTTATATATAGCCTTTATTATGTTAAGGTATGTTCCCTCTAAACCTTAAAATTCACAATTTTAAAAGTCAAGATAGAGGAGGTGCACCTGGGGTGGCTCAGTTGGTTAAGCATCTGCCTCTGGCTCAGGTCACGATCCCAGGGTCTGGGATGGAGTCCCACATTAGGCTCCCTGCTCAGCAGGGAGTCTGCTTCTCCCTCTCCCTCTGCCCCTCCCCAATGCTCATGCTCACTCTCTCTCTCTCAAATAAACAGTTAAAATCTTAAAAACAGATAGATGAGTCAAAGATGAGGAATGTTAGCAAGGAAATGGAAACAATGAAAAATCAAGAACTGAAAAATAAGATATCTGAAATGGAAAACAAAACCAAAAAACCCCGGAATCTCAGTCACCTGGAGGACAGTAACACCTAATGATTATGTGACTGAATCCCCAGAAAATGAGACAATGACAAGAGACTGGGACAGAAAAACATTTGAAGAAATAAAGCTGAAACCTGAAAAATACCAGTCCACAGATCCAAAACCTCAAAAATATCCAAACAAGATAAACACAAAAATACCCACACCCAGCCACATCACAGTCAAACTGCTGAAAACCACAGAGAGAAAGAGAGAACATCAGAAGCAGCCGGAGAAAAATCAAAGATGTTACACACAAGGATACAGTAAAATGATGGCTACCGTTTCATCAAAAAGCAATGGGAGCCAGGGGCACGAAGGTGGCACAACTGGTTGAGCATCTGACTCTCAATTTCGGCCCAGATCACGATCTCAGGGTCGGGGATTGAGCCGTGCATTGGGCTCCACCATGGGGCCGCCTCAAGATTCTCTCTCTGCCCCTCCCTACACTCACTCTATCTTAAAAAAAAAAAAAAAAAGGCAATGGAGGCCCAGAAGACAATGGAACAAGACCACTACAGTGCTGGGGAGGGAAGAGCTGTCAATCCAAAATTCTATAACCAGCAAAAACATTCTTCAAAAATAGAGGTGAAATAAAGACATTTTTAGTTGAACCAAAGCTGAAAAAATTCATCACCAACAGATCTGTACTTTAAAAAAAAGCTTAGTAAAATGACTCCATAAAAAAACAAAAAGAACAATGAGCTAGAAATGTACATACCACAAACACATAAAAAGAAACTTTTTCATCATTTCTTAATTTACATAAAAGACAAATGTTCATTTTTTTTTAAAGAATTTATTTATTTATTTGAGGGAGAATACAAGTAGAGGGAGTGGCAGGGAGAGGGAGAAGCAGGCCCCGCCCCCGCTGAGTAGGGAGCCCGATGTGGGGCTCAATCCCAGGACCCCGGGATCACAACCTGAGCCAAAGGCAGATGCCCAACCCAACCGACTGAGCCATCCAGGTGCCCCCTTTCTCAGATTTTATTTGACAGAGAGAGAGACAGAGAGGGAGGGAGCATGCTTGCACAAAGGCAGGGGGGAAAAAAGACAAATGTTTAAAGCAAACAGGAGGGGTGCCTGGGTGGCTCAGTCATTAAGCATCTGCCGCCTTCTGCTCGGGTCATGATCCCAGGCCCAGGGTCCTTGGGATCGAGCCCCGCATCGGACCCCCTGCTCCGCGGGAAGCCTGCTTCTCCCTCTCCCACTCCCCCTGCTTGTGTTCCCTCTCTCGCTGTCTCTCTGTCAAATAAATAAATAAATTCTTAAAAAAAAAAAAAAGCAAACAGGATAATATATTGTGGGCTCTACAGTTTAAGTACAAATGAAGTGTATGACAACAGCAGCACAAAGAATGAAGGGGATGAATGGAAGTAAACTGCTGTAAAGATAAAGGAACAAAGAAGAAATCACAAGGAAAAGTAGAAAATATTTTGAGTTGAATCATGGTGAAAACAAATCAAAGTCTGTGGAATGCAATCAAAGCAGTGATTAGAAAGAAATGTATAGCCTTCAATGATAATACAAGAAAGGGAAGATTTGAAATTAATGATCTGAGCATCCACTTTGTGAAGCCAGAGAAAAATTAAAGCCAAACTAGCACAAAAGGAAATAAGAGCAAAAATCAATGAGATAGAAAACAGAAAATTAAACAGTTGGTTCTTCGACAAACCACCAACAACACTGATCAAGAATAAAAGAAAAATTAATTAACATTACTGGAAATGAAAAGAGATCACTGCTAGATATCCCCCAGGCATGAAAAGGAAAATAAGGAAATATTATGAAAAGCTTTGTTACTGACATAAATTCAATAACTGAGACTAAATGATTTTGAAACAATTCCTTTAAAGATACAACTTATCACAACTGATGCACAGAAAAAACTGTTAAAAAACCTAGCTAAAAATCTTCTAACAAAATGCCAGCCCTCAAACTGGAAACAACCCAAATGCTCATCAAGTGGAAAAGATATAAACAAATAAAATCAGCAATAAAAAGGAACGAGCAACTCACACACATACACACAAGAATGAATCTCAAATGTGTTATGGGGAACAAATATCAGACACAAAAGACTGTATGATTCCATTTTTTGGCATACAGAAAAGGTAAAATGAAGCTACAGTGAAAGAAATCAGGACAGTGGTTACAAAAGGAGAGTGAGGTGCCTGGAAAAAGATACAAGGAAACTTTCTGGCACAAGTTCTTTACTTTTACGGATGTAAATTAAATGGGTGTGCATTTGTCCACTGAAGTGCACCCTTAAAATCTATGCATCTCAGGTAAGTGTGAACTATGCCTAAAAAAATTACTAACTAAAAAAATAAAATTAAAAAAAAAATAAAAAGGATACCAAGATGTTTCAACATCTCTCAAAGGAGCCAACATGTTGTTTTCCCTTAAGAAATCCAGAATTAGTTCTAATTTGAAACTGTTTTTATTTAATTATGGTGCTCTCTTTTTTAGTACCTTTAAATCCACCTCAATCTTTTTAACAGTATTTCACTATAGGAATGTACCACAATTTTATCATTTCTCAACGATGCATACTTGGGTTGTTTTATAACCTTTCTTGTTTAGGACAAACCAAAAACACTTCATTAAAATAAAGCCAACCTCGGGCGCCTGGGTGGCTCAGTTGGTTAAGCGACTGCCTTCGGCTCAGGTCATGATCCTGGAGTCCCGGGATCGAGTCCCACATCGGGCTCCCTGCTCAGCAGGGAGTCTGCTTCTCTCTCTGACCCTCTTCCCTCTTGTGCTCTCTATCTCTCATTCTCTCTCTCTCTCTCAAATAAATAAATAAAATCTTTAAAAAAAATAAAAAATAAAAAAATAAAATAAAATAAAGCCAACCTCTGTAAATGAAGAACAATTTTTTTCCAGCTAACTTCATTGGTGTAAAAAGACTAAGTTTCTAAAAACTCTAAATTTAATTGTGGTTTCTTCAATTAAGAAAATAATCAGGAACCACTCAACACAGAAGAAACTTCAGATAAAGGATATTTCTTTTACCCATGTAGATTCCCCAGGCACTGGGACACAATAGAAAGTCTGTCTTTCCAAAGTGGTAGTTCGTGGGGAGTTTAAATCAACTTCTTGTTGAGGCTGTAATATATACACAGAAAGTATATTTAAAATTTTATTAAGAAAAACAAAAATTTTAATTAGCAAACCACATATTCATGTTATTTGCAAAACTATAGTAAATATTTCACGTTAAGAATTAACAAGCAAATACCAAATCCAAACTCATTTTTTAAAAAGGAAAACGGACCTAAAATCATTTCACATGCAACCATCAATATACTACCTTCCCTCAAGTCCATAATACACAGCACCCTGTTACAAAGTTAAATCTTTTAATAAACAGGATACTTTATTTTTTCAAAGACAAAGCACTGTCTCTTTCATAGACCACATCAGTATCAGCCTATAAAATAGGAACTTAATGAAATATTTATTAGCAGTAACTCTGATAGGAGATTTGAGTCAGATATTATCCCCTAGAAAAGGAATGTTCTCCATTTCAAATATACTGAGAAAGTCCTAAGAGTTAGAAAGAACCCAAAATGTAATATTAAAATATTACTTTAATAAGGATATACTACTTTTAGTACATACATTACAAAAAAATCTCTTAAAAGTAAAATAAAATGTATATTCCATCTTGTGGGGGGGGGGGGGAAGACCCAAGAGACATCACGTCTCAGCCTGAGCTAGTATATACACAAACAGGGCTTTCTCTGTGTTTCTTTTTCTTTCCAGGCCCAAAGTTTTCCTGGTTTGGTGCTTTTACTTATGATCTTTAGCAACACAATACAAACTCTTGGCCTTCAGCAGTGTCACACATGGACAGACTCACCTATTTTCCTATTTCCAGATGCTGAGATTGCTAGCCTATGGTGATAATACATTACTGTGTATTGATAGATTAGGCTAATATGACTTAGGGCTCCTCAAACAAGGGACACAGCAAGTATTTATAAAGTTGACTCATTAGACTTGGCACCACATTTTACTTTATAGAAACACTCTCAAAGAAAAAAAGACATTGGGAGACCTCAAGTTCATCATGTGTTAAGATGAGCAAATCCATCTTTCACAAGTCCCCCTAAATAATTACAGGAAGTTACATTTTTGTTTAATACAATCTTTGCAGCAACCTTCCAAATTAGGGCTGTTTTTCCGTCCAGATTGGCCCTGAACTAGAACACTTAATCAGGCACAGCTTCTATTATGAATTAAGGTATGTGGTATTAGGGCTTATAAATCAATCTCTTGAGGTTTCGGTAAGCGGGAGTCAGACTCCCAGAACGTAAAAAGCTCCAGATAATCTGATTAAACTAAGACTCTGGATCACCAAAGCAGAGAACTAGACCCAGAAAGAAGGTAACTCAAACTAAGGTGCCACCTTTCTACTTAAACACCAGCCTGATCAATCCCCACCTGTGATACTTGTTTTTTCCCCCCAAAACTGACAATTACCATCAGTTTCAGTAGAACCACATGAAAAACCAATTTTAAAAAATGCAGATATACTCTAGTTCCAGAATTAGTTCTAATTTGAAACTGTTTTTATTTAATTATGGTGCTCTCTTTTTTAGTACCTTTAAATCCACCTCAATCTTTTTAACAGTATT